CTGTCAAAACACAGAACGTCATAGTTCTGTATGGCCACAGGATTATTATTTTTTTATCCTCCAGTTATCGCTACAAAAGCCTGCAAAGCCCTGTGGCATAAACATCTACTAAACAGATTTAATAGAAACTCAATTTGACTTTCAGCCTCAGATTTCCCGCTCCTTTTTTTCACAAATTCTAATAATTCCTTTATTAGTAACACATCTTCATTACTAACTGGAATCCCGTTTTAAATCAAGCCTGGAGCCAAAAACCATCTCTTCTAGTTTTTACTATTAATTGACTAATTAGTTGGCAATGATGCATGAAAGTTTGGAGTGGTATCATGACTTTGGGTTGGTTAACATTCACCTCAATCCCAAGCTTCCTTAAATGTGTCAGTGCATTTGTTGACCAATCTTTCACCCCTCAGACATGTCCCTGATCATGATCCCTTTGTTGTCTTGCTACAAGCAGCTACACAACCCATAGCACTGGTGATTATGTGAGTCTATTTCAGTGTGCCATTTCAGTGTTACTTAGCAGTGATAGCTCAATCATAATCTGCTGCTGCTGTGTCTTTTTTGTGCACGGAGGCTTCAAGAGGCTGGGAGAGATCGCTATCATAATGTGTCATATGTGGTGTGGCGGGTACTTGCATTAAAAATACCCTCCAGCACACCAAGCCTCTATGAATAATAAGAGCTCAACTAAAGCTGTGTTTCCTATTCATGGCGATACCTTATGTGCAAATAAATGTCAGCAAACTTCATGACATGAAGTAGCAATAATGAATCAAACTTGTGTTTCCTGTGCAAGTGTTAACGTTGCGATGATATATCATTTCACATAACACAAAGATATAGAGTCTTTCTCTGTGTCAACAGGAGATAAATTATCTTCGAAATCAGCCGAAACGAAGATGGAAGGTAACAATGTTTGAAACGGTTCTTCTGCCTATTGTCTGTGACCTTCAAATCCTCTGCTGCGGGTCTCTATTGTGTCAACTCTGCATCCATAGGCAGCATCACTGAAAAGTAGTTTCTCTGGGGTCACGGAGGTTATCTGATGGCAACAGTCTGAAGGCTTATGGCCGTATCATGTCTGCAGCGGGGATGCTCCTGAGGTGTTTTTTCTCATTACGGGGGAATGTCGATTACTGGAATGATAGCCTCGTCTGCCGTAATTGACCCGTTGCTTCAAATTGATACCATCTGTCTTCATACAGATGTAATGACCTTGTAATAAATCGACAGTTTATTGCATTAACCCTGACTCTTTGTGACAAGTGACGATTGCCTGCAAAGGGAGGTGTCAAAATGGATCAAGGGGTCGCCACTCGGTGGCAAGAACAAAGTTGGACCAACAACTTTCTCTAAATTAGTTGGCGACAGACCCGAAGCCTTCCTGGATTCTGCTTTGTCATTTCTCCAGTTTTACATAACCATGAATGAAAAATAGTATCATATTCACGGTTGGACCTATTATCTTCTCCAGATTTAGCATCCCTGTTCTGTCTGGAAGTTTCAAACAGAGCTCACAGCTAGAAGCTGACCTTCATTTCTGGCTTTATTCCATCACCTGAGTTTCAACTCGCTAGGAAAGACTGTATATGTTTTAAATTGTATTTTAAAAATGCACATTATTCAGCGTTACTGTAAAGCTACAAGTGCTGGCAGAATGGCTAATTTTCAACTTTTTCCCCCTGGCCAGATTAGAGCGAGCCAATAAAAACAATAAAACATTAAATAAAAACAACATCTAAAACCATTACAGCAGGAAGCAAATGACCGTCTCTCTGACCCCGTAGGATTGTCCACAGGCTCTCTGTGTATGCAAGGATACATCTAATACTGCTTACTTTTTTATTACATACACTGAAGGATGCAGAAGCACTCAGGAGAACAGAGTCTTGATTACATTTTCTGATGACACTGCAGCGTTGACTCTTTTGAGTTTTTCTTCTATCAGCTGGGTTCACAGCCTCGCAACAGTCTGAACAGCATTGTTAAAATCTTCTCTAAGATCATCAGAGTGAAACAAAGAGATCTGGGTTCTTTTTGCAACCAACAAATCCCTCAGAAAGCGGCACATATTTTGCCTCTTTGCGAATATTTTCTTTATCAAGGCTGTTTGTTAAAACTAACTGATATTCTGAAGCATCTTCTGTATTTTAACGGCATAATACTGTTTTCTTTTAAGTCTGGTCAGCAAATAAATACTTATGGGATTTTTAAAAAGTTGATTTTATTAGGCTTGAATTCTTGTTTGCATTTATATTTTTTTCATATGCTCACTTCTGTTTATTTTTTATGTGCTGCCTCAAACTAATTCAAACCACTAAATTAGTGCCGATGACTATAATTGATGTAAGTTTTCATTTTTATTTTAACTAATTAATATTAAGGTATACTTGTTTACCACATATTGTGATATATAGTTTATCCATTCTTGTTTAAATTCTGAATCTATGCTGTATTTTTCTAAATATAGAAAAGAGCCAGTCTTATAGACTCATAGACTCATATCATTATTCATCTTTAATGATCCCAACAGTGTATAGTAGTCAGTGTTGGGAAGGTTACTTTTAAAATGTATTCCATTACAGAATACAGAATACATGCCCCAAAATGTATTCTGTAACATATTCCGTTACGTTACTCAATGACAGTAACGTATTCTGAATACTTTGGATTACTTAATATATTATCATGCTTTTTACAACAATGTGAATGTACTATTGCTGTGTGATTTATTACTATTACTGAAGGTCCGCGACTCCGAACTGTAGTAAAGGGACCTCTGACTAATATGGCGGGGTCCCTGTCGGCTTGTAGCCGAAAAATAGCTTTACTTTGTTGTGTGGGTCAACTTTTCTTGCGAGAGACAGAGAGAGGCGTTGAAAGGCTGCTCCAACGGAACTTATTGTTTTCGGAGGAAAACACGAACACGGTGTACAGTCGAGTCCTAATAGCTTACTTACAACTGGGCTCGTCAGGCTCTCTTCTTGGCTGCAGTGGTTATTATTATATTTAGATGCTTCCAGCTCCCGTTTTTCCTCGATGACAACTCGTACCTTTCCACTCCCCTTTTTCTCGCTCCTCGCGCTCACAGACCCATAACGTGTATGGCAGTCCATTCTCCCTGCAACACGGACTACACTGCCCATGATGCTACATTCTTTAGAGCTATGCTTGTAGCATTCTGCCTGTTAGCTTAGCACAACAACAACGAAAAGGCGCTCTCTCACCCAGGAAACACAGTCTCAGAGAGAGAGAGAGAGCGTCGCCCTGTAACCATGGCAACCGTAACGCTGCCGCCTGGAACAACAGAACGTAGCTGTCAAACAAAACCCAAACAGTCCTGACCCGCGACAAAATGAAACAGGAAAGTACCGCAGTGTAATCCATTTATTTCAACAAAGTAACTGTATTCTGAATACCACCTTTTTAAACGGTAACTGTAACGGAATACAGTTACTCATATTTTGTATTTTAAATACGTAACGGCGGTACATGTATTCCGTTACTCCCCAACACTGATAGTAGTGAGGTGGTTAATATTTGATATTGGTTTCATATCCATGTTTGTTTCCTATTGGTGTGTGATTTGGTGTAGCGAGCAACAGGTCGCCATGCAGCTTTGGAGGTGGACTTGATGTTGTTCAGATGTTGATATAAACAGCTTTCATGTAACTGTGTGATGTATGGGTCAAAACAAAAAAAATGTGTTCTCTCGATCATTTAAGAGATGTGTGCAAATAGTCTTAATTGACCATTTGTAATTATATTTTATATTTATATTTTTTCTGAGTTTATTTATTATAAACTTTATCATAAAATGAAGTACATTTAACTTTAAATTATGCTATTGTGGTAGACAGTTGAGTAAATTCTGACTAAGTTTTTCAATACCGGTACTTATATTTGCTGATTTAAATTCCAATATTGTGATACTCAAGGATATTTTCTTCTTCCAGATACATGAAACATAAATAACATTTCCCTAACACTTGCTATGTGTATTTAATTTGTGTACTTGTTTGCCATTATTTGTTCATCCAAGTCTAGAGACATTCTTGTTCCGACACACCTGAATCAATTGAATGGCTTGTTATCAGGCCTTTGCCAAACTTGATGGCAAACTTGAAGAGGTAATCCAATCATTTGATTCAGCTGTGTTGCAGTAGGAAGGCATCCAAAAGCTGCAGGACAGCAGCTCTCGAAGACTGGAGTTGGACACCCCTGGTTTACAGCCTTTCAAACATGTTTCCATCAGAAAAGTTGTCCAGAGTGCCCTCTGGTGGACAAACTATGCAGTCTCGATACTCATAACAGTTGAAAGGTGTTTCTACAGTTTATTTTACTTTTTTACATTTTTTTTTCAAGTTTTACTATGTTGAATAAAATTCAATATTTCTGGACAATGAGTATAGCATATTGAGGACCTTGTACATATTTAAGACAAGGATTAACTTGTAGTATAGTGGGTAGTATATTGAAGCGGTGGCAGTTTTCCAGTTAACGTCCAATAACTTGAGACCCAGTGTGTGTCTCCAGTACAGGTTTTATTGTTGTCAGTAAGAAGAGACCAAGTAGGCAATCTGTGTCTTGTTTGGGAAAAAGTCAGAGAGTGAAAAGACGACCTGCTGTATTTTTCCTTTGGGGCGTTTGGTTTTATTTCCATTCTCTGTTTTGCTTGAACTGAACTCTCTTTTGACACGTCGTCACTCCCAAACAGAAGGTTTGATCAGCATGTTATGATTTCTGTGATCTCAGCCAGACGTGTGTGTCTGAAATGACCACATAAAAAGATATCCTACTTTATGACATTATACAGATCCAAGAGTAGAAAGAAAACTGTCTGAAATGAAGCATTTAGAACAGTTTGAAGCTTAAGCTATAGGCTTATTGGGATTACTAGTACATATGCTGTCTTTACTACTTGAAACTTCTGCCATTTAAGCTGTCTGTTACATTTGGATTTGAGTTTAAAATTATTGTTGTGTTTGTGTCCTCAGAGCCAGGATGGGAGGTTTGAAGTTCGTGGGCGTCACGGCAAGTCGGTGCTGACCATCAGCGGCGTGAGGCTCTCCGACTTGGGTCGATTTGACTGCGAGGCACTCAGCAGGATTGGAGGTCATCAGAAGAGCATGTTCCTGGACATTGAATGTAAGCGCGCCCATTAAACGCCATGCACGCACTTTTTGTTAGCGTGCACATGCACTCCACAGCAGGCTTCCAAGAACTGGAGATATTCAAACAACAAGTTGCCTAACATTGCCTGTGGGTAAAATGCAGAGGAGTGTTGTTTTTGCAGAGCCCTGGTCACCTGTTACAGCCTCTTACAAGCTTCTCCTTTCTGCCTTTCTATCGGCTCTTTGCGGTCCTTGCTGTGGAAATGGGACACATAAACACATTTAAGCAGAGTTCAAAAGTTCACTCACGCTCAGTTCTAATAATTCTTTTTGTAGTCTGGCTATTTCATCTTTTTTTCCCTCTCTGAAATGCATTATATCATTATAAACAAGTCACCCACCACGCACATTGCCTCCAGAAGGGTTAATTAGTGAGAGGATATCATGCATCGCCTTTCTTTTTTTCTCCTGCTGACAGCTCTGCTACTTCCCAACGAGTGCATCCATTCTTCAGTGCTGGTTGTTTGGGGTTATTTGGGGCGGGCTCTCCCCTGCTTAATGAGCTCTGAAGCAAAGATCTCCATTTTGGCCTCAGAATGATTAGGTTCATTAGTAGCAAGGCTCAGTGGAGTTTTTTTTTTCCTTTTTCTTTGGGTAGCAATTGATTCCACCTTGAAGCTCAGAGGAACAACAAAGAGCTAGGCCAGGCAAACAAATATATCCAAAGAGACAGCGAGGGAAAAATGAAGACCATATCTGCGTTGTCACATGAAAACCAATTTTCTCCTTTTCATACTGAGGTGACTTTTTGAGTTCATGGATTCCCCTCAAAATTTTGTTTTGCACGGTTCCTGAAAAGTTGACATTTTAGGAAAATCTTGTAGCAAAAAAACAATCCCAAATTCATGCACCCACTCTCTAACCGTGAAGCAAAGTTGCTGTCATTACACTGCAAACTTGTTTTGCTGGAGCCACAGCTGACAACTCGCGCCCGCGCTCTGCACAGAGACACAGGCTGTGAGTCTGAGTGTGGAGGGGCTGAGCCAGCCGTTGCCACCGAACTAATGAACTCATTTACTAAGTCACTGCAGGCTGCAGGGGGATAACACGTCCTCGGCTGTGACAGAGAGCCAGGCATCAATCTCTTTAATGGAATCCTGCAAGCGAGCATAAAACAACCATAATGCCTCTCCGACTGAGCGGGGCCGACCGGGCCGAAAGAAATCCGCACAACAGCTCGCCGCCGCAGTCGTCCATTACTGCCCTTTCTATTTGCCGGCGCCAATGAGCTTCTGTTTGCATGCTTTATTCCTATTCTTGGGGGGCACGATTGCAATGGAGACCCCCACCCATAGCGTGAGGTAGCTTCAATTAAGTTTTTCTTTTTTTACACTGCCGAAGGAGTTGAGGAAGCAGCAATTAAATGCTTTCCCCCCTGTCTTCTCTTTAAGGTGAAGCCTCAGCAAGTTATTTATTTATTTATTTATTTACATCTTTGATCATCCAGCACAGCTCCACCTTTGATTTGAGTGTTTAATTGGCTGCCACAAATTCCAGACACACCAGCAATTACTCTTTTAGCAATTCAGGTCTTGTTTTAGTTTTTTAAAAAAAAGCTCCTTTTCCATGTAAACGAGGTGGGTGCAAGAAGTGACGTTACTCTGTTTTGTTTAGATATACCAAAGTTCCTGACCAACCACACCGTTTATTATTCATGGGAGGGAAATCCGGTGAACATCAGCTGCGACGTGATGTCCAACCCACCTGCCACCATGCTGTGGAGGCGAGAGCGCTTCACTATCTCCACAGAGGGAACCGCCAACATGAGGGTGCACAGCGCCGAGGGCAAGTCTGTGCTGGAGGTGAGTTCAAGTCCTCCGGTGGCAGCCAGGTTAGGTTTAGGGTCACGAGACAAAAAATGTGTTTGAAAGTTTAATAATGACTCTGTCAGTGTGGTTTATCAAACAGAGGTGCAAAAGAAATGGAGTTTTTTGTAATGAATTGAATTTTCTTCTTTGAGGGAAAAAAACAATTAAATAAACAATAAAAACAACAGTGAAAGACAGACCTGTAGTTTAATGAGTTTAAAAAGAAAATAAATTCTGATGGCTCTTTATGAAGACTTACTCACACTGATATAGTTTTCAAAAATTTGACAAAATTCAGATTTTGATGTTTCTATTGGCATCCCAGTTTAATGGAAGTAAGCGAAACCCCAGTGGTGGTCATTGTGAATAGTTTGTCATAAAGGATGCTTTTAACTGAAGAAGTCATGAAAACTAGACACCCATACTCAGTTTTAAATGATGATTTCATTTATTACAGAAAAAGTTGTTATCCAAATCTACATGGACCTGTGTGAAAAAGTAATCACCCCCCAAACCTAATAACTGGTTATCTTGTCAGCAAGAACGGCAATGAAGCATTCAAGTCTTTCATAAGGCTGTGGAAGATTTTGATCCTCTCGTTTTTGCAGAATTGTCTCAAATCAGCCCCACTGGAAGGTGTTTTTAAGGTCATGCCAAAGCATATCAGTATAATTCTGTTTCAAATCAGTCCTATGAACACCAAAAACACATATTATTCAGTGCATGTTTAGTATATAAAGCACAGTTATATATCGAGCACAGTTGGAGCGAAAGCAGAAAAGTCCAAGTGAAATCTTTAGTTTTAATATGAATTGTGATCGACTGTATTGTTTATCTGCGTCCAGGTGACTCCTATGTCCGACAGAGACTTTGGCCGCTACAACTGCACGGCCAGAAACAACATTGGAGTTCGATACCAGGAGTTCATTTTGGCCCAGGCAGGTGAGTCTGCAGAACTGCCACTAATGCGCTAATGAGGCTAGCAACTCAATTTCAAGACCAGAACATGTGGACGTCTCAGGGACCCTGCAGCTTTTCAATAACCGCTCTCCCAGTAACTCCAGCCATTCAACTACTTTGTAACCCTCTACCTCTCTACTAATGGTAATAGCCTTATTTGCAATTCTCAGGAAGATAAATTCCACTACAACTCCCAACCCCTATTCAGCCTCGCCTAATCTCAAATAGTGCTGGCTGATTTACCATACCCCTCGCAATTTAACTGAAGTACTCCCTAATTTACGGTAGCGAGGGCTAATACACAATAGTGCAGTCTAATTATCTTTAGTGCAGATTGAATTGCTCTAGCTAAGGAAGAAAAAAGTAGTGAGCAAAAAGCTGACCAAAAATGTCGTCTTGCAGGAAACAGTAGGTTTTAGAAGAGTTTGTGACTCTTACAATTCAGCACAACACACACTCAGGCACACGCAAGAAAACACACTGTGAACATGTTTGTGTTCTTAACGGATATTTGAGACGTACCTTATGTAGAATACACTGTCTTCATAGCTCGATCATAAACTGATAGAAGAATCTGAGGGTGGAAGTGTGTTTGTAGTGAGTCAAACTGTTCTGAATTTTGCCTTGATGTTTTAAGTGAGAATCACTAATACAACCAAAACACCTTGAGTCACATCAAAAACATATCCAAGGACAAGTGATGCAGTCAAGTGATGTGGCAACTTACCTGAAAATAAAATAAGTTGCTGTCTATTAAATTGCTAGAGTCTAGAGTCGGCTAGGTTTAATATGGCAGTGATGTCAGGAAGTTTTTAGAGTCAAGGTTTATTTGTGCAGGAAATATATTCAGAGGTCTTACGCAGAAGCATTTATTGCAGTGAGCTTAATATCAAGGAGAACAAAGATGGACACTGCTTATTGCCACCCAGTTCTAGAACAATCTTGGAGGCAACAGCAGGAGAACGGATTTATAGTCCAATAATCCAAATATTTAACCCACAATGAGGTAGTGGTCATGCACAGGGAGACAGGTGGAGCGGCACGCAGGCAAAACACAGTGTCTATATAAACAGATAAAAAAATATGGTACTGGATTTAAAAAAAAAAAAGCAGAATTCAAGCAATTAAACAAACTAGGAATCAAGGAAGGCTAAGGTGTTGCACACTAAACATGGGTGACACAAAGGAGGGAAAACTAGCAAAGAAATGATGTACAATAGAAATTACTTACAGAAACCTGACATTGTGGCCATTTCTTAATATATCTATCCTCATCCTGCGCAGAATAGATTCTGTTCCTGTCTGTTCCAGCTAAAAGAAAAGACTAACACAGCTCCTGCACTTTTAATCTGCATGAATAGAAATGTTATGTTTTTAATGTCCTATCTTTTCACCTAAAATTAAAGTACACAGGCTCCTCTCAGGCGTTGTATAAGCTGAATTATTACATCTCTCCTAAATAACCCTTGAAAGCTTACCAAATATAGAAAAATAATCTTTTACAATGTCTGTCTTTAGTTTTATTACGGTGGCACTGTGCCATTTATCTTTGATCAAAAATACATTCAGTGTAGTTGGTTATTGCTGTGTAAATGTCAGAGTTAGGTCCATAAATATTAAGACAATTGCCTCTGTACTCTGAGGTCCTCCCATTTGTTTTGTTACATTAGTCAAATTACTCACGCTAGAAGACTTCTTTTTTTTTTATCCTTCTGCAGTATCTGCTGTTTGGCAGTGTGCACCCTCCAACACAAGAATTCCCTCCCCCACTACATTGCAGCACAGGTCAGAGCTGGTATGAATGACATGAATGGCTGATCATTCACACACAGCATGAAAACAATGAGCTTTGCAAAGCTGCTTGAAAAGCTAGGAGCAAATTCAGTAGCTTGGGTAGTAGGATGCCAACGCGGATGCAGCCTGTGACTCTCTCCACTCAGTGGTCAGCAGACTGCAAACACAATCTCCGAGAGCCCCTCTCATAATATCAGGGGACTTTAATCATGTCTCACTGGACTCCACGCTTCCCACCTTCACCCAGTATGTGACATGCCCAACCAGAGACAATAGAACACTGGACTTACTGTATGCCAATGCAGAAGAGGCATACAGTTCATCACCTCTCCCTCCTCTGGGCAGATCTGACCGCAACCTGGTGCACCTTGTCCCTGTGTATGAGCCCTTAGTGCGCAGGGAGCCACCAGCCACCCGCACAGTACAGAGATGGTCGGAGGAGAGCGAGGAGGCTCTTAAGGATTGTTTTGAGTCGACTGTGTGGGAGGTGATCTGTGACGACCACGGAGAGGACATCAACAGCCTTACTACATGCATTACTGACTATATTAATTTCTGTGTGGATAACACCGTACCTACCAGGACTGTGTGGTGTTTCTCCAACAAGAAACCTTGGATTACCCCAAAAATTAAAGCTGTTCTCAAGCAGAAGAGGAGGGCCTTCAAATCCAAAGACAAAGAGGAGTTGAAAAGGGTGCAGAGAGAGCTGAGGGGACTGATAAGGAATGGGAAGGACAGCTACAGGCAGAAGATGGAGAACCAGTTTCAGCAAAAAAACGTTGGCGAAGTCTGGAGAGGCCTCAGAACCATCTCGGGCCACAAACATCAGAACTCTGACACCTCAGACACTTCACACCAGTGTTGCCAACTCCTCAGTAAGGAAAATCGCTATTGGTTGTCCTAAAAGTCGCTAGAAGTCGCCAAATGACGTCATCGCCTAATTTGCATATTTGGTCATGCTAATGTAATTGTAACCTACGTTGTTGGAGAGAGAAATAACATCGTGGAAGAGACATAAAGTGAGTAAAAAACGTCCTAAATGCAGTTAGAATTTATTTAGAACTACAAATTAAATTTCTTTTAGCAATTATTGTTTTTTAATGTCACAATTCCAACCCTGCTCCTTTATCCGGACCTGGACCGGCAAAAGTGACCGGAAATTGGCACTCTGGTGGAGTTACTTTGTGTGTGAGAGTGTGTGTTTATAAGTAGTTTTAAACCTTGTCATCCACAAAACAGCATAACAGTAAAAGAACTGACTGCGTTACAGTCAGTGCGGGAGCAGCGGCTTCGCCCTGATAGCAGCTGGGGGAGGACTATCCTCCGCCTGGGAGTGCTTTGACACGGATGAGGTGCCCCAGGCAGCACCGCTGCCTGTTGAGAGTAAGAGCGATACGTGTTTTCACGTCAAAAAGTCGTCATAAATAAGTCTCCAGTAATACCAGAAAAAGTCGCCAGATTTGTCGCTAGTCGCTTTTTAGAAAAAAAGTCGCTAAGGGGGTCTGAAAACTCGCTAAATATAGCGACAAAGTCGCTAAATTGGCAACACTGCTTCACACCTCCTCTACTCACCCTGCTCACTCCTCCCCACCCCCAATAACAGCATCCAATACACACTCAACACAAGGCTCCAGCCTGTCTCTCTCAACCACCCAGGTTAGGAGGGAACTGAGGAGGATTAATGCCGAGAAGGCGGTGGGCCCAGATGGCATCAGCTCAAGGGTCGTCAGGTCCTGCGCGGACCAACTGTGTGGGGTGATGGAGCGCATCTTCAACCTGAGCCTGAGGCTGGGGAGAGTCCCACAGCTCTGGAAAACCTCCCGTGTTGTACCAGTGCCAAAGACTTCACGCCCCGAGGACCTCAACAGCTATAGGCTGGTGGCTCTGACATCCCACCTGATGAAGACCCTGGAGCGGCTGGTCCTGGCTCAGCTTCGGCACCTGGTGAGCTCATCACTGGACCCACTTCAGTTTGCCTACCAGCTTGGCATTGGAGCGAATGATGCCGTCATTCACCTCCTACATTGTTCCCTCGCTCACCTGGAGACAGCTGGAAGCACTGTGAGAATCATGTTCTTTGATTTCTCCAGTGCCTTCAACGCTATTCTTCCCTCGGTCCTGAAGGACAAGCTGGAGAACTGTGGAGTGGACCATCACCTCACTACCTGGACTTTGGACTACCTCGCCAACCAACCACAGTATGTGAAAACTCAGGGCCGTGTGTCGGACAGGGTCGTCTGCAGTACGGGGGCCCCACAGGGAACGGTTCTGGCTCCGTTCCTCTTCACCATCTACACTGCAGACTTCTCCCACAACTCCACCCAGTGCTTCCTGCAGAAGTTCTCTGATGACTCTGCAATAGTCGGCCTCATCACTGATGGGGACGACAAGGAGTACACAGGACTGACCCAAGACTTTGTGGACTGGTGCCAGCTGAACTACCTCCACATCAACACCAGTAAAACCAAGGAGCTGGTGGTACACTTCCGCAGGCACAAACATCCTCCACTGAACATCAAAGGTATGGACATTGAGGCTGTGGACTGCTACAGGTACCTTGGTGTTCATCTGAACAACAAACTGGACTGGACTCATAATTCAGAAGCCCTCTACAGGAAAGGGCAGAGCAGGCTGTACCTGCTGATGAGACTCAGGTCGTTTGGAGTGGAGGGCCCACTCCTGAAGACCTTCTATGACTCTGTGGTGGCCTCAGCTATCTTTTACGGTGTGGTCTGCTGGGGTGGCAACATCTCTGCCGGGGACAGGAAGAGACTGAACAGGCTGATCAGAAGGGCCAGCTCTGTTCTAGGATGCCCTCTGGACCCAGTGGAGGTGGTGAGTGGCAGGAGAATGGTGGCTATGCTTTCATCCCTGTTGGACAACATCTCCCACCCCATGCAGAAAACTCTGACAGCACTGAGCAGCTTCTTCAGTGGCAGGCTGCGGCACCCACGGTGTGGGACGGAGAGATTTCGCAGGTTTTTCCTCCCCACTTCTGTCAGACTCCACAACAAAGACTCCAACTGATCAAACACACACATCCACACATGTGCAATAACACTAAGTGCAATACTCTTTATCTGACAAAGTTGTATTTTTACTCAGTTGTATTAAGCATTTGTATTCTATTTTTATCCTATTGTATATTTTATTCTATTTATTCTACTGTATATAGTATTTTATTTTATTCTATTCTGTACAGTTGTGTACAGTATTTTATTCTTATTGTATTCTAATTTTTGCTATATAACTTTTGCACTGTCCACTTCCTGCTGTGACAAAACAAATTTCCCATGTGTGGGACTAATAAAGGTTATCTTATCTTATCTTATCTTATCGTGTTTAGACCTATGTTTGTAGTTATAATTCCTCATCAAGTATTCGCTGATTTACTCCTAAATAATAGTTGCATGATGAATGATGTTGATGCATGACAACTGAAAAATTAAAGGTTATATCTGGTGCTTTCAGCCTTACTCAGTCTTTTCCTTTCTCTACACAGTCAGTGCATAAGGCAAAGGAAAAGGTTGTTTTGAATTCATTCCTAAGTTTGTGAAACAGGATTCTGTTTCTGACACCATGCAAGTGGATTAGACAAGGCTTATTTCATAGCAAAACAACACGATTGCAAAGGAAAACAACTACATGGAAATTGTCTGCTTGTTTGTGTCATGCCTTTATTTTTTGTGTTTCCAGTTGCGCCATCGAATCCATACTCAGTTCGTCTGTCAGCTGTCTCCCAGCGCCTAGCGACCGTAACATTTATGAAGCCAGACTCTCATGGAGGCGTTCCCATCAACTACTATCTGGTCCAGTACAAGGAGGTGGGCTCACAGGACTGGAGGGATGTCAAGTCACACAGTGTCCAGAGTAAGTGTAAACTTTATTTTTATCCACAGCTTTCGCTTCCCCCCCCCTTTTTTTCATGCCAGTTACCTTCCCTAAAAATCGCTGTAATATACACTGACTGAGTGAAATGGGAGAAACATTTATCCGCTGTTAAGTTTGACCCAATTACATATTGTTATTGTGAAGTCTGCTAAAAGCCCTCTTCAACTCTTTTCCATACCCATTTTCATTTTATGGCTCAGGCAGGTTGAATTTTATCAGATCAATGAAAAAGCATGAATCTATTTACATTCTCAGCTTATTTTATGGAAATCTCAAGATTTTTTACCAGAATATACCAGCAAGTTGAAAACACTGTCAACAACTGATTCTTACTCATATTTTCACTATAAGCCTTCTGAGTTTTCTACAGTCTAATGATGTGTAAAATGCTTTCTTATTTTTCAGGTTTCATGTGTTTTTTGCGTTTTTCAGTTTTCTATAATGTCTTTATGGAATAAAAAATCCTGATTTGAAGGGGTTATCTGACTGCACTGAAGTCCATTATTAAGTAAACCCAATTCTTACTTAATTTACAACCTACGTAAAGACTTTCCTAAGAAATTTGTAGTCATAGTTGGTTGTTTCATGTCTTATTTGACAGACCTTTGATGATCATTTTGGCAATCACAGTTGTGTCTAGTATAGAACTGATTATGAAGGACATCTCCTATACAGCAGATTACTAACATGTTAGCATGCTGTTTTACCGTACTTTTCGGACCATAAGGCGCATGGGATTATCCGGTCGTTAAGTGATGACGTGACGAATCCTACTTCCGCGCTAGTGATGTGCGGATCGATCCTGAAATATCGATTCCTCCGATACCAATCATTTATGTTCTAGAATCGATTCTCACATTAAAATATTGATATTTTAGTAATTTAGAGTAAATTTGTAGTTTATCATTAACAGGAACACAGTGGAAAGAAACTATAACCCACCAAGCTGCTTGCCATAAAGCACTTTGTGATTTTTATCTGTGAAATGTGCTATATAAATAAATTTTACTTACTTACTTACTTACTTATAACATTCGGATTGTCTACATTCAAAGGAACTACTTCCTCTTCCGCCTTTCATAGTCATGTGTGAAATACGGCTGTATAAATGTCTGGCCGACCCCTGGCGCGCACTCACAACAATGGCTGAGCGTAATTGTGCGGACGTATTTTACCTCCACAAACAGCTGAGACGTGGTTTGTAATACAGTGGGGCAAAAAAGTATTTAGTCAGCCACCGATTGTGCAAGTTCCCCCACTTAAAATGATGACAGAGGTCAGTAATTTGCACCAGAGGTACACTTCAACTGTGAGAGACAGAATGTGAAAAAAAAATCCATGAATTCACATGGTAGGATTTGTAAAGAATTTATTCGTAAATCACGGTGGAAAATAAGTATTTGGTCACCTCAAACAAGGAAAATCTCTGGCTCTCACAGACCTGTAACGTCTTCTGTAAGAAGCTTTTCTGTCCCCCACTCGTTACCTGTATGAATGGCACCTGTTTGAACTCATCATCTGTATAAAAGACACCTGTCCACAGCCTCAAACAGTCAGACTCCAAACTCCGCCATGGCCAAGACCAAAGAGCTTTCGAAGGACACCAGGAAAAGTATTGTAGACCTGCACCAGACTGGGAAGAGTGACTCTACAATAGGCAAGCAGCTTGGTGTGAAAAAATCAACTGTGGGAGCAATCATCAGAAAATGGAAGACATACAAGACCACTGATAATCTCCCTCGATCTGGGGCTCCACGCAAGATCTCATCCCGTGGGGTCAAAATGATCATGAGAACGGTGAGCAAAGATCCCAGAACCACACGGGGGGACCTGGTGAATGACCTGCAGAGAGCTGGGACCAAAGTAACAAAGGTCACCATCAGTAACACACTACAACGGCAGGGAATCAAATCCCGCAGTGCCAGACGTGTTCCGCTGCTGAAGCCAGTGCATGTCCAGGCCCGTCTGAAGTTTGCCAGAGAGCACATGGATGATACAGCAGAGGATTGGGAGAATGTCATGTGGTCAGATGAAACCAAAGTAGGACTTTTTGGTATAAACTCAACTCGTCGTGTTTGGAGGAAGAAGAATACTGAGTTGCATCCCAAGAACACCATACCTACTGTGAAGCATGGGGGTGGAAACATCATGCTATGGGGCTGTTTTTCTGCCAAGGGGACAGGACGACTGCTCCGTGTTAAGGACAGAATGAATGGGGCCATGTATCGTGAGATTTTGAGCCAAAGCCTCCTTCCATCAGTGAGAACTTTGAAGATGAAACGAGGCTGGGTCTTCCAACATGACAATGATCCAAAACACACCGCCCGGGCAACAAAGGAGTGGCTCCGTAAGAAGCATTTGAAAGTCCTGGAGTGGCCTAGCCAGTCTCCAGACCTCAACCCCATAGAAAATCTGTGGCGGGAGTTGAAAGTCCGTGTTGCTCGGCGACAGCCCAAAACATCACTGCTCTCGAGAAGATCTGCATGGAGGAATGGGCCAAAATACCAGCTACTGTGTGTGCAAACCTGGTAAAGACCTATAGTAAACGTTTGACCTCTGTTTTTGCCAACAAAGGTTATGTTACAAAGTATTGAGTTGTATTTTTGTTATTGACCAAATACTTATTTTCCACCCTGATTTACCAATAAATTCTTTACAAATCCTACCATGTGAATTCATGGATTTTTTTTCACATTCTGTCTCTCACAGTTGAAGTGTACCTCTGGCGCAAATTACTGACCTCTGTCATCATTTTAGGTGGGGGAACTTGCACAATCGGTGGCTGACTAAATACTTTTTTGCCCCATTGTACATGTGGCAAAAAAGTGTTCCAAGAGTGAGGTGTTGTGGCCATACTAGGGAGACATTCAAAAGGGCTGTTTGGGGGGGGGGGGGGGGGGTACGGTACTTCTAAACGAAGTAACAGGAACCAGGAAGGTAGAATTGGATTTATATACCACCTTTCTAGTCTTCACACACTTTACACTAGAGGCCGGAGTTTATTTCTATGCAAGTGCTTTATGTCTAAATCCAACACCTACATGTATGTTTTGGAATTACTGTGTCAACGTCTCTCAAGTGCCATAGATGTAGAATAAATAGAGTGGCACGATATTCTCTCCCCTCAGAGAACCTGGGTTACAATGTAACCAATCAAGCTCAGGTTGAAGCTTCAAATCCAGACTTCACAAACAATTAAAGGACTCAGGGTCTTTTATATATAGTCAGTGAGTAAATATGAGGGATCCACACAACAGTTAAGTTATTCTCACTGTTTTAAAGATGAGTACATAAATATTAAATTATCTAAATAATACATTAAAAAACAGAAATGTAAATAATTTACTGTGAAAGCATTGTCAACTTAATCTAGTTGATAAACTAATCAATAAACTCAAATAATTAAATGACCTCCTCAAACTCGGTTGAATATAAAGAAAGCTGTTTCTTTTCTTTTCCCACATTAAATACATGAAAAACATTCACATAGATTATATACTATTGACCCTTAAGTAATTACTGCTATTTACCAGTTCCACTTTGATAAAGCACATGAACTTCAAGATAGAAATGTTCTATCTTCTATTCATAGTTTCAAACTTAGTTATCAGACTGTGAAGATTATGCTTCAACACACCAGATTATCCTATCTAGTTTAAATCAATATTTCTCTCTGTCTACCTCACATACACCAACTAACACCTCATGCAATACGGTCTCCAAGTTTCCACTGTATTGCATGAGCTGCCATGTGCTCCTTCAAAGCCTTGGCTCTGAGATGTTGTTGGGTCATGAAGAAACTCAAACACGTCATGGGGAGAGCGCCAGAATCTGTCTGAGCTGAAAGATCGCATTCCTCCTCTTCCTATGCTTTATGACTGCAAATTGATTTCTGAGCCTGTTGGTGAAAAGTACACCATGAGGTGAAGGATGGATGGATAGATGGATGGATGGAATATGAAAGCCAGAGGACGAATGGTCGGGTGATAAGCGGGCCTGACAAACCTGAAGGGCTTATCACTAATATCCCCTCATTTCAGAGTCAATTACAGTATGGAGATGCAGTGAGGTGAATACTAAATAGGAACTAGCACTTCAGCAGTGAACTTAAAAATACATACATCACATATAGGCACATATAAGCAGATAGTGTAGAAGAACAAAGGAACAATGCACAAGATTGTCAATTTAATATAGATAAATTTAGCTCTGTATGCAAAAGCAGAAATATTAAAGTGAGCCAGACTAATTACAAGCCACACCAAGTGTCGTCATATAATCATAGAAGCCATTTCAGATAACCTCAGCAAAAAATCCTTACACAATAAACCCTTCCATATAATGAGACGCCTGGCCTCGTTTCATTTGAATGCTTCTGCCCAAATTGAAATGTCCGCTTACAGCCTGGAATGAACCTAGCACGGCTGCAAATTGCAGAATTTGTTTTCAGTTCCAGGACTAAAGAACTGCAAAAGCACCTATTACCATTCAAGTATTTAATTTGTGCAGACTAACAAAAACAACAACTTTCACTCAAGCTCATTACACTACACACTCTCTCCCAGATTTTTTGAGTTGTGACGGTTATGTAAATGGGCTCAAGTGACTGTAGAATTTAAATAGGAATCTGTAATGTGGTCTGATAATGAGATTGCCTGTTTTCTTCAATATTAGATGTAATTTAAAGTACGAACGTGACGCATTGCACAATTCTCCGAGTTACTATCGTATTAATATTCTATCTGATATTTTACTGTGGTTTCATTAGAGTCAGAGGCACATGTACTCTTCCACTACACTGTTTGCTATGACTTTGTTGAAGGTGAGTTTCTAAATCTTCTTATGTTTTTCATTATTGATCATTTAGCAGAGTCAAGCGGTTGCTCCCTTGTATTTTAGAACCACAGTTAAAGCTTTTAGTCTTGGAACAAATGACCTAAGATAGATAGAAAATCTAACTTTCATTGCATGCATCTAGCTCTCTATATTTCACAGACTAAGCAATAATAATGCATTTAAGTCAATATAAAGAAAAAAACAAGTGCAATAGATTAATTTAAACGGTTGTAAGTATGGTGGTAGAAGTTTCATAATGTCGGGGTTTAATTCCTGGCTTTTCTAGTCTTCATGTCAAAGAGTCCTTGGGCAAGATGCTGAACCACACAGACACTTTAAAAGGCTTTCAAACGTGACTTTGCATGTAGTTTATAGCGTAAAAAGTTCTATGACTGTTCAGTAAGGCCAGAAAACTGCAGTATCAGTACTAGTCTAATTAATGCCCTTCTTAATGTAGATGCTTTTGGACTGCAGGAACTTTTTCATACTTCTATTAACTCTTTGAACGGTTGATTGCGCCCTCCTTTTTTCCTATGTCTGTGCTTCAGGATCTATTATCTACTGTACTTCATACAACTCAATCTTAAGGTCTCTTGTTTCAGCTAACCTTGAGAGACCTGAGTGTTACAGTGATTGGTCCAGCTGTAAATGTACAGTAAATTGTCAGAAGTATGAATTCATCAATGGCCACCACCATTAAAAAAAGTGCAAACAGCTATTATGTTGACCCTTCTAGAACAAAACAGAGAGAAATGAACCAGCAGTGAAGTCCAAACTGTATTGCGCCTACATGATATGTTGGAAATACAGTGTGATTGTAGCTCATCAGGGGGAAATATAAAAATCCTTGCACAAAATTCCCTTCAGCTTGCTACTCGGTATCCGCTACAGCGAAGCAATCTGGAGCGAAAATGAAGAGGTTGAAATAGGATTATGAGAAAATACGGGACAACAGCAAGAGCCCATGTTTCACTACCAACCACTGGCTGGCAATTACATTAGTTCAGAGTTCCTATTAATAGTGTCAGTGAAAACAACAACAATAACAAAAGATGAATGCCAGGTAGTTCTTGGTAGTGGGGAGGGAGTTATCATCAGTTACCTTCTCTACAGGAAGTCTCTAGAAGTGTTTGGGATTCATGTGCTCAAGAGTGTGTAATACCTTCCTTTAAAAGTCCACAATTTTTAAAAGTGTGCACCATTATTCCCATCATACCAACTATCTCTATTATAAAAGCCTGCTTTGCCAACCTGTAATTGTAGGCGTAACTGTCTAAACTAGTTAGTTTTAACAGGTCAATAAAGCATTGAACATATTTCAGTCAGACAAGTGAGATTTTGAATAATTTATTAGCAGCAGAATATAGCTATTAAAGTTTGGGATCTACACTTCCTGCAAATAAATTGGGGAAGTCATATAGGCACAGGAGCCTACAGGTGGATACTAGTTGGAGAGGTCTAAACAGCAGGCAGCAGGCTGCCATTTCCCCTTTTTTCCTTGTCTTCCAATGACACTGGAAACCCTCTGAAAAATAACCAGCTCCCTTTCTTAATGACTTGCTTTGCTATCTGCATGATGGATGGTCACCACTTGCTTCCAGGTGACACGATGTCTGTTCCTGTGTCTCTGCAGCCACAGTTGTGCTGACAGGACTGGAGCCCAACACAACATACGAGGTTCGAGTGGCAGCTGTCAACGGAAAGGGCCAGGGCGACTTCAGCCACACGGAAACCTTCCAGACCTTACCCATCCGTAAGTCCGCTTACTTATTCAAATCTGAATCAGTGACGTATGCATATGTGGTCAAAAGTTTACATCCACTGGTCATGGGCATGAGTGGTCAAATTTCCAGCAAGAATTACACCAGAGACTTGTTGATGGCTACAAAAAGCATCTTGTTGAAGTACAACTTGCTAGAAAATTCCCCCAAAAAACAAACGTGTAAAGCACACCCAGTTAGTAAGTTATTAAAGATGTATGCTGTACAATCACTCTACCCTGGAAAAAGAACACTTCAAAGAGGTCATTAAAAGTCCAAATATACCATGACATTCATGCCCATGAGGAGTATATGTACATTTCTGACCACAACGTATGGAATGAAATAATATATTATTAATATATAATAGTTTGATAGCAGTTATACTGGGTTAATTGTTAGCTACTGGCATATATCAGCTGTTAGGATTAGAAAATACAGATGAAATAAAACATCTGTGGAAACTATAGATCATAATAAAGCCACGTGACTGGAATGCAAACATTCTTCAGGAATCTATTCAAGGCACCAGCACCTTAGTGAAATGAAGCCTATTTGCAATCCTCTGCAGCCTTGCCATGTTTCTATCAGAGACGGCTTCCTGCTCCTGTTTCTCTGATATGAATTCAGATTATTTGGGCTTGGAAATAGATCCTGTCAAATTTGTGTCTTGATGTAAAACTGCTGCATTAAAAATTATGCACTGCAGGGGTTTACGGTAAGCATTTTATTTATTCTAGCAATCTGGCACGGCGGGATTGCAGTAAATCCAGGCAAGGCCACAGGAAAAGTGTTTCCATCCTTAATAATATACAGCAGTGCAGCTTCCGAGAATGAATGTTAGAAAGAAGACCCAATTAGCAAAATACAGTGAATAATAAAAACCTGGAGTCAACATTAATTATAGCCAGGCAATGGGAGTTACCTTGTAATATGAATTTAATTCAGCTTTAAACCTTCTTTCTCCTTGTACTGCATCCTTATCTCATATGTCACGTTGCCACCTGCCCCCCTCCTTGGGAATGCACATTCCAACACACACATACTCACACAAAGACATTGTTTTACATCTCAGCCTCTGCCTCATGTCTTCCTCAGGAGAGCCGAGTCCGCCAGCAGTCCATGGGCAGAGGGACATGGGCAGGGCCTACAGGCTGGGGCTGGTCAAGCAGGACGACGGAGGGATGCCCATTGTGGAGTATATAGTCAAGTACAAGACTGTGAGTGATTTATTTACAATTAAACACAGCTGCTGCCTTCAAGTTTCTCATGACAGCCCCACTATATCGAGCCTATATAAGTGGCAAGTCCAGTTTGATACATTAATACCTTCATTAATGTATCCCTGCTCCGGTCACTCCCATCCACATTTAATGCGCAAGGTAAATAAACGCAGGCACATTTAACACAGGTAGAAGGTTCACATTTTGTACTTGTTTTGTAAAAAAAAAAAAAAGGAAAAATCTTTCTTAACCTTTTTTTTGAGAAAGGATGACTGAAATGCTGCTGCAATTTTAAACCTTCATTTACTGGCCTCCATTTGTATTTCTGTATCATTAATCAGCTGGAAGCACAAAGTTTAAATTGTAGTAGGCTCCTTTTAAGGGTGTTTTTCATGTCATGTCAATGCATTTGAAAGTTTTAGTGAGTCATTTCACTGCCTTTTTGTCCTCGTTGTGAAATGGTCACATTAAATCAACGGCACTACTCATTTGTCACTCGTCCATTTTTCCATCCTTAGGTCAGCAGTTTACCTCCCAATTGCTACCTTTCCAGGTAGCAAATTACACATGCTTGTTGCTTTTTGGAGAGAAACCTGAAAGGACACAGTGAAAACTGAAATACAAAGAAAGTACCATTTTATGCCCGCTTAGTGAATTACAGTAGTGCAAAAACTCTTGAGCCACCTCATTTTGCTAGGAAAATGGGGGAAAAGAGTGAAAGGATGTACTGAAATGTGCAAATATATATGGAAATACAGTATATAAGGCAAAAACAGCATTTGTACAATTCTAATGAGCTTGGAAGTGAATATTTGGTGTGACCACCTTTACTCTTCAGCACAGTCTGAACTCTCTTAGGCAGCTTTCTTGTCATTTCTTCAGGAAAGTAGTCTTCAGGAATAGTTTTCCAGGCTTCTTGAAGGACATTCAAAGCTCTTCTTTGGATGTTTCTGCCTTTTGTTCTGTTCTCTGTCAACATGATCCCACACTGCTTCAATAATCTTGAGGTCTGGGCTCTGGGGAGGTCAATCCATGACTGATAGGATTCCACTGTTTGTTTTTCTATGAATGTTATGAATGTTCTAAGATTGAAAAGAAAAGCGACTGGACTTCTTTAAGTTTTTCAAAACTGGATTATAGATGGCAAACAGTTGGTGCTGTAGACCACCCCTCTGTTCAAAGATGGTCGTTCACAGTGAACATAGATGGCTTCTTTTACTCCTCTTTGAAACCATCTGTCTTCTCCGTCCAAAATGTGAACATTGGTATCCTCGAAAGAATGACCTTTGTCCTTTAGATGCCTACGTACAGCTGAGTCTTGTCCTGTCGAGGTGGCCCTCCTATGTTGTGCCATGCATTTATGAAGTGGCTGTTTGGTTTCTCCGATGTAAATGTAAATGTAAAATCATTCCTGGCTGTTGATTTTCGACATGATTTTCAGATACTGTTCATCTTTTTTTTTAACAACACCATGTTGAGATATGACAAGTTTTCAGCTAATAGCTCGTTGGGATCACTTTGTTGTTGCAAAATACTATTTCATGCCTGTCTCACACTGTGTAGTCTTTGGCATTTTCATAGATTCATCTAAAGAAATGGGAACAAATAATGTGTTTTTGTGGCAGGCTGCTAGTAACAAACTGACAACTTAGTTATTTTCTTTTTACTACGTTGTCTGTTATGTGTAGACACTAGTTCATCCTTTGAGTTGGGGGCCTTTTTATGCTTCAGAGTCCAGTAACTTTAATCTGATTTGGCATAGAGAACCTATAGTGATTGGTAACACTGTTTTCTGCTGCTACACTTTTTAAGTAGATTTCACTTGTTCAATCAATGTATTTTTGTTGTCACTGAGGCTTTTTTAACAATAAACCCATCACAGTTGGCAGATTTTAGAAACTATTTTCAAAATCAAGAAAAATGAGAGCAACAAATTCAGCAGAAGTCAGTGTTTTCTAATAGTTCCAAGTATGTCTTTTTTTTTTTGACAGTCATTAGATGGCACACGATACTGGGAATGCCTTTTCCCTCCACTGGAGTGTGTGTGACTCTCTAGTTTGACATGTTGTGACTGAGTTTACTAGATGATGCTTCTTGAGTATCTTTTTTTCAGCCCCTGTTTCACTCACTTGTTCTAAATGGGGGTACACACGTGAGCAAGTAGTTGATATTGTGTGTGTGTGTGTGTGTGTGTGTGTGTGTGTGTGTGTGTGTGTGTGTGTGTGTGTGTGTGTTAAAATGCAAAAAGCAGCTTAAACTCACAAGATAAGAGGAGCGACTGAGTTGAGGCCAGGAAGCAGAATAGATGGCACTCGCACAAAAACTCTCCACAGGACTAAGTGGATTTAGGCTGGTCCAAATCTCCTATCTCCCCAGTGCTAATGTGTCCAAGCAGGCATTTCTCTGTCTCATTGAGAAAGCGGCAGAGATTTAAAATAATAAAACCATGCTGCTGAAAAGAGGGTCAGGGAGTCTCAATGAGGCTTTTGGAGGCCGAAAAGGATGCCAGTGAAGATGTTTCACACCCCACTAATCTAATGCCCCTGTCTGGCGTCAGGAACACACAAACTGCTTCACTGTGGATGGAACAGAGAGCCTGAAAGCAGACAGCATTTCAGTAGGGATCGCTTTAGGCAGAAGATTCTTATTTTTATCTGCGGGCATTTATAATTGGAGGTATTGACTCTGTTCTGCTACCTCACTGACATCAGACATGACATTGCTGACCCTCATGAAGATTCACCCTGAAAATGTGTGTTTTTGAGTCAACATAAAAGAGATCTTTGCTGATATTTTAAGTATCATCATTTCTTGATTGGAGCCAGACTTTGTTTGTTGTTGTGTTTTGATAAATCCAAACTTGAAATTTTAGGAATGTCGTTGTCAAAATGTACAGAGTAGGTCAGGGGAGAGGTACTAGAGTGCGTATCTATACCGATCTGTAGAACACGGTGGAGGCTCTGTCATGTTCAGGATCTGCTCTCTCAGTTTATGAGGTGGCCATAGAACAGGTTCTCCTAGTTTGAAAGTTAGTGGTTTGCGCTTTGCTTGCTCCAGCCTCCAGTCTGCATGCCTTGCAGAAAATACTGAACCCTCCAATGCGTTCATGGTTGAGTGAATGTGTGTGAAAGTTAGATAGAAGGCACTTAGGTATTACAAAAAGTAACTGTGTGAATGAGTGTTAATTTGTGAATGAGGCATGTTGTATAAAAGCTTTTGAGTGTTTAAGTAGAGTACAAAAGCACTATATAAGAGCTAGTCCATTTATCAATTCTGCCAGTGGTTTGGGAATCTTATCGAAATAGATGGAGTTGCGAATGCAGAAAAGTACAGGGATAGAAGTGGGTTGCAAAGCAGCTTGTAGATTTAGTTGCAAAGTAGCTTAAATGGCAAGCCCTACAGTAGAAGGGACCCGATCCATTGGTTGATGTGAGTTGGCATGGAGATCAGCTGGTCTGCTGGGATTGCTACACAGTTTTTGCACAGACTCGTTAGTCAGGATTTTACAATTCAGATGAAATGTTACATATTTTTAAGTCCTGCACCTTGACTTTTGTAAAATCCCGTTTTTAATGGTTCTCAAACTCAGGGAGGAAAAAATAGCCAAGGAGGTGAGACTAATAAGCACACAGTACAGTTAGCATGCTTTCAGCGCCACGCTCTCAGACTGACTCTTCAGTTTCCAGTGCTTTGTTTGCAGTTGGTTTCTTTATGAAGGCTCGGGAAGGAGTAGAGACAAAAGGCTGAGGCCACAAAGAGAACTGTGTGATACTGATGACAGGCTCAGGATTACTGTTTCTTTATACCTATTCAAACACATCTGTGGGGGCGTTTCACAACCGAGCCTGATTGTAGTAACTCTCAAAACTCCCAGATTAAAAACACAAAGGGTAAATTGCTGTTTATCAAATACAACAACACTTTCGCTGATCGCCTTTGATTCAAAGTGAAACATAGAGCTTTGATTAAAACCAGGTAATAAGGGTGTCTTTTGATACTCTTTATCTTTCTATCCCTCTCTTACCCCTCCCTCCGCCAGGATAAAGAGGAACAGTGGATGACCAAGCTCGTTCCAGGTGCGAAGGACCATGCCTTGCTGCACCCGCTCCAGTGGAACACGAGATATGAAGTGGAAATCACAGCGCGCAACGTGAAAGGCCTGTCGGAGCCCACCTTCTATCAGTTCTTCATGCCACAGAAACCTGACATTACAGGTAAAAGCATGATAGAGGAAAACTTCAGCTTGTAATTTGCCCTTTTTTAACATTTCCACTTTCTCATAGATGCCTTTTTGAGTTGCTCTTAAATGCCTTTTGAAAGTCCCCAAAGAACACTTTTGAACTTGTTGTGTTAAGTGGTGGGTCAGTCGTGCCACTAGAAGGAGCGCTGACGATAACAAAAGCAGGAGAGCAAGATGTTCCAGTCAAGATAAAGCGAGCCTGAAAACGCAGCAGGCCTTGTTGCCGCTTTGCTTTCTGGACAAATGATGCTGCTGTCATCTCAGAAATAGTGCCCTGGCCTCTCCGGCAACAGATTTCTCTCTGTATGATTGTCGAATGGGGTTTAAATCCCACAGAGAAGCACTTTACTCCGAAGTTTTTTAAAGGCGCGTTGAAAAGCTGAGAATTTTTCCTCTGTGAAAAGCCAAAACGTCCTTAGTTTGACAGCCGATTGTCTACATTTGGCCAGTTTTTTGAAGGCATAAGAAAAAGTGAGCAAACAAAACAACTAACTGGAGAGTTTGGAGAACAGATATTAAGTGTTAGAGCAATACTCCACAAAGTGAAAGAAGCTGTAAAGGATGAACTATTCAAACTAGTAATCTCTAACAGGATCATGCTCCCAAAATATATTGTACTCGGATAGCGATTTCCATTATCAGGATCACGTTTTCAAACGATTAAGGGAAGAGTGTTTTGTTTTTTTACAGGAAGCTTGAGCAGCAGCCTTGACTTCAGTGCATTAGTGCAGTCCCCTTTAAAACTGCTTCAGGGCTTGTGCACACCAGTGCTTAGTCGAGACCACAGGTTTTCAAGCTGAGAGACAAGACGCACACAGTTGCATGAGGTGAAAGGGACAGGTGGATGTCGGTGTCCCAAAAACAGAAAGACTATAAATGTGGCCCATTTAGCGACACAGTCAGCAGTTCCAGTGTTCACAGTGATCGCTGGGACAGCATTGGACAGTATCTTTTCTATACAAATGCTGTTGAAATAATAATGAAGTAGTTTGCTTATAGTATTCCTTTTGAGTCTTTATAGATGAAAATAAGAAAAAGATGTCTTTCACTTTGTTTTCACGATGCTTCGCCTTGGAGTAACCCATCTGCTTCTGTCTGCCTACCTGAGGCTAGTGCTACATACGCTGAAGTCCTGATGGGGAAAAGAGAGTTGTTTTCTGCCTGTGAAACTTGAGCCATGCTGCTAAAAACATGGTAATATGATGGAGCAGTAAAAGTGGATGAAACTTGGATGTGGAAAGCACCTGTGGTTAAATTCGTTTCAACTTAGGTTTGTTTAGAAAGCACCAATTAGGAGCAGAGTTGCCTCAAGGGGCTTTATATTCTAGGGTAAAGACACTAGAATATTAGAAAGGCAGCACAAAAGACACATAGACAATATAGGAAAAAGCCAGAGTTTCATAATTACTAATGATTAAAATGATTAATGGTGTATAAACCAATGGAGAGTGAGAAGAAGTGAGTGAAGAAGTGTTCAGTGCAGCATGGGAAGCTCAAAGCAGCCTAGGCTTAATGCAGCATAACTAAGGAGAGGTTGAGGATCATATCATCCAATGCTAACTATAAGCTTTATTAAAAAAGGAAAGTTTTAAGCCTAATCTTAGAGTAGAGATGTCTGTCTCCCAAATCCATAATGGGAGCTGGTTGCACAGGAGAGAGGCCTGAAAGTTGAAGCCTCCCATTATACTTTTAGAAACTCTAGAAGCCAAGATGAAAAACATATGATTTGTCTTTCTAGTCTCTGTCAGTAGTCTCACTTCAACATTTGAATCAACTGAAAGCTGTTCTGGGAGCTTTCAGAGCCACCTGATAATAATGAATTACAGTAGTCAAATCTAACTTTTTTTTTTAGGATCTAATCTCAGAAAATGAACAACAACAATTCTGCTTAGAAATCATTGGAAAGAAGTCCAGAACATGTCAGTCTCATGTGTTTGGACATTCTATTCAAATGTGCCTGGATAAAATGCAAGCAGGAACTAAGGGAAAATTTAACATATTTAATGTTGTTCCAATTACTGGCCAAAAAAAGAACCTAAAATGTAAGGGATGTAAATATTTCCCAACATTATAAACTGAGCGGTGGTTATAAAGCAAATGGCCAAAACAAAATTTCTTGTAATGATGGCATATCAAAAAATAGCATTTGGAGAATAGTCAGCAATCTAACTGTAGATTGTAGCCACTCATCATGCAAAAATGCCAAGTATTTTCTGCTTTAAGATTTGTCACCGTAAAGAATGTGCCTTGTATTATTGTATTTGCCCTTTTGGCATTTGGCCAAACATGTCAAGATGCTAATATTGTTGCTTTTTGTTTTTATCAGAATTATATTTTTTGACTGTTCTTATTTATGCTTTCACCTCAAGGTTCTTGTAAATGTATCACCGTTCTCCTGTTCAGGTACTCTGACTGTCGGCATCCTTGCTAGGGCTTCATTCTCGTCTGCTCTAATAAACAGCACAAGTATTACAATCACACCACGGTTCGCTTCAAAGAAACCCAGCAGAGCACGAGTGAAAATACCCTCAGGCTGTACTTTTCTTCTCTAAAATATCATTCTTTTCTTCTTGTTTTTTCTCGCTGTTTATCTTATGGTCCTCCTGTGGTGCTGCTTTGCAATTCTGCTGAAATTCATTGAGAATGGAGCGCAGATGGAACGTCTCTAGTCGAGCTCGCTTCTCATTTGAAAGAGCGACACGCACACGGTTACATAAGCCAATATACAGACACAGATAACTTCTTCAGCTCTTGGTCTTGGGTATTCTTATGTTGAGACTGCGCTGTTCTGCTGCATAACAGTGTATGTGCTTGTTTCTCTCCTGATAGTTTGACTTGAGCCTTCTTGTTTTTTTGTTCGGGGAGGGCAAAAAAAGCTAGAAAATTCTAAAGACAAAGATGGTTACAGCTACTGCAGCATCTTCTGTGTAGTATTCATTTAGATTTTTTTTTTCTTTTTGTTTGTTCTAGGTTTATCTTTAGAAATAAATAATTATCTTTTGATTGGAAAATTGTTATGATTTACTGCTAGTGTTGACTAGCAAGTTGAGCTAGCTTCTATGACTGTGACTGTTTCTTAATTGTGATACTATTATTGTATGATACACACTATGCAAGTACACTATGTAGAGTACTTGTATAACATGTGAATTTAGTGAGAGTAGTGCTGTCTTAAACTGAACAGCAAAATGCTCACTCGAAGTAACAGCTGCAATTTTGACCAACTATTTTGCTAGCTGTAGTATGTTTTTAACATATGCAACTTAACCCTTTAAGACCTACCATAGAACCAAGTCCGCCAGAGCTTATATTATATTTTTACATGTTGTGGAGCCATTTTTTGGAGCATTTCAAGTTGCTATACATCAATACAACCATTATAGCCCAAATTTTAATAATGTCTGCATTAAGTGCATAGTAATTACATACATTGCAAAAAAGGGGCGACCGTAGCTCAGGGGGTTGGGAATCGCATCTGTAACCGGAAGGTCGCCGGTTCGATCCCTGGGCTCTCTGTCCTGGTCGTTGTGTCCTTGGGCAAAACACTTTACCCTACCGCCTACTGGTGTTGGCCAGAGGGGCCAATGGCGCGATATGGCAGCCTCACCTCTGTCAGTCTGCCCCAGGGCAGCTGTGGCTACAACTGTAGCTTGCCTCCACCAGTGTATGAATGTGAGAGTGAATGAATAGTGGTATTGTAAGGTGCTTTGGGTGCCTTGAAAAGCGCTATATAAATCCAATCCATTATTATAAAGTCCACTATTTAGATTGAGAAAAGTTTATATAATTATTTAGCCTTGTTGTGCAAACAAGCCTGCATAACTTAATAAATATAGAATTTGAAAAATAACAAACCTAAAAAGAAACACTAGGTACGAGATACATGAGTATGACTACGATACGGTGATACTTTTGGTAAACAACCATTTGACTAACATCTGTCTCACCTGCTCTTGTTCCACCTCTGTTCTGTTGTCATTCTCTCTCTCCCTCTCTGTTCCTCTCTCTCCCTCTTTGTGCTGACAATCAAGCCAAACACCAACATCATCAAATATACAGTTGAAACCAGATATTTACAAACTCTTCAGGTAAAAACACAAACACTTTTTTAATTGTAACATCAAATCAGACTAAATGTTTATTTTTTTTTAGATTGATAAATATAAAAAACATATTTGTTAACTTTAAGAGTAAAGAGAGAAACTATCAATTGTAAATGGCACCAAATTGTATTCAAAATTGAGCCACACTTATGGAGCTCCACAATTCTTTTCCTGGTGTTTTGGTTGACATCTCTTGATTTTCCCATGTCAAAGAAACAGGCTCTGTGTTTTGCCTTATATGGATCCACAGGTGTTACGTCCCCTGGCTAGTCTAGGGGGTTGAATGGACGAACATAAAGGTGGATAGTGAAGGAGGAGCCAAGATGATAACTTTAAAAGGTTTATTTAATGCTGGTGATGAGATTTGGGTTCAGACTGAGGTATAACTTCAGGGAGAGCCAAGGCCAACGTAACAAACAAAACATCCCAGATGTAAAAATAAAAGAAACTTACCTAACTCCAAAGAAAACAAAATACACAACCTATAACCATAACCTACCTAACAACACATAAACAGGAGAAAACGGGATGTCAAAACAAAAGGCAGCTCTCCCCTACAAGCAGTCTGAACATGAAAACAATGCACATACAAATCACAAAGGCATGCAAGCCTGTACAGGTATGGCAACCAAAATGGCCAGAGGGCACAGAAGCACAGCTCCACAGGCCTTAAGTAGTGCTCTGCTGATTAACAATTAGCCGGACTCTGAGCAGCATCCAATCAGGACAGAGGAGGTGGAGCCTAGACAAAAAGAGTTAGGCTGTATCCCAATACAGGGTCTGCAGCCTTAAAGTACGCAGTCTCAACGATCCTCAAGGGCCGCGTACTTAAAGACCGCTAAGGCCGGAAGTGCGAGGCTTGTGAAATGGG